TAAAAAAAATAAAATAAAAAGTAGTAGGAGTAGTAGTAGTAGTAGTAGTAGTAGTAGTAGTAGTAGTAGTAATGATCTTCCTACTTAATACTTTATTATTCTTGAACCCATTCGAAAGAGAAAAGAAAAAAGACAGAGAAGAGAGAGAGAGAAGAGAGAGAGAGAGAGAGAAGGAGACTCATTCGTCCACTCCACGAACAACAACAACACATTTCTTGATAACTAAGGAGAAAAAAAACTCCTCACCACTCTACAGTATTTCTCCTCTTATCAGCCATCTAAAACCTCCCCTCCTCCCCTCCTCCCCCCTCCCCCTCCCCCCACTGTTTACGAGCTCCTCTCCTGCAGTATCATCATTAAGACTGCCTGCGGTAAGGTCTTCGTGGCTGTGTTTATCTTGACGTTTGCCTCTGGGTTTTAGGTCAGGGAGATTGTTGTTGGCTGTTGGGTGAGTGGTGTGATGAGGGGGAGGAGCTGAGTGGTGTGGTGAGGGAGTGGATGAGAGGGAAGAAGTGTTTAGCGAGAAGGATGGGGAGAGGAAGGGAGAGAGGGGAAGAAATGTTTTAAGCGGCCACTCATCCGTCTGTCTGACACACACACACACACACACACACACACACACACACACACACGCACACACTCAGTCGCTGCCGTCATCAAGATCTTGAGCCGATCTGATTACCTCACTGATGTCAATGATGTACCTCACTGATGTCAATGATGTAAATAAATAATAATTCTATATACGATGGTAAATTATTCTTGATAAAAATAATTCACTTGATTATCTATTAGGTTTTATCATCTGTTGTTTTGTAGTATGAATGTTTACTCCCGTTTCTGTACTGTAGTGGTATGTATTTTCTGTAGTGGTTACCTGTATATATAACCTGGATCTGGTTTTATTTTAATTGATGATATGAAATAGTATGATAATTAATCTTGTTTACTTTAGGTTTTTTTCTTCAGTTGTGGTATCAAGCCATAATCTCCCCATTTTGTCTCCCCATCTATGAAACAAATCAACTAACCTCCCCATTTGTCTCCCTAAACTATGAAACAAATCAACTAACCTCCTCATTTGTCTCCCCATCTATGAAACAAATCAACTAACCTCCCCATTTGTCTCCCCACACAGGCATAGCTACCTGGGTCCACATAGAGATGTACATTCGCGGCTTTGGATATAGCAATCCAGATGGTGAGTGTGTGTGTGTGTGTGTGTGTGTGTGTGTGTGTGTGTGTGTGTGTGTGTGTATGTGTGTGTGTGTGTATGTGTGTGTGTGTCCAGAGTCGTGTGGTTTTTGCTGTTAGTTTACACCTTGGTATATTCTGTCCTGAACTGTTTACACTTCCCCAGGCCAGGATACAAAGAGTTTTAAAGTGTGAAGAAAACTACGTTATTAATAAATATTTATTTACTGAATACTGGTTGGGCTGGCTTTGGTTAGGCTACGTTTGGTTAGGCTGAGTTGGATTGGGCTGGGTTAGGTTAGGTTAAGTTGGGTTATGTTTTGTAACGTTAAGATTAACTATGAATATTGTGTGTGTTTGCTGGTGATATAAAACAAGTAGTATTTATAAACATATCCACTTGCTGTCTGAGAGCTTACCTGTCACTCTACGATTAATTTACACCACTAATTACTATTCTCTCTCCATTAACTTTCTATGGGATTTCTGTACCTCCATCTACACAAGAATTTAACAAGGTTGAGAGTCGTAAACGCAACAGCCAATATAGAACACTCAGATGCGTCCATGGTTCTCAGTTCAGTGAATCACCACCCGAGGCGTTGATCATATCACCTGTACACTAATTAGCTTGCCTCTTCCGTGTGTGTGGGTTGATTAGTCATCCAGTCCTGTCGCCCATTAGCGTGAGATCACTCGTGGATTACACCTGTAGACTGTACTGCTGGCGTCAGTCTGTCTAATTAAGGTATAGAACCGGATAGTCACGCAGTCTTGTCCTATAAACTGGTGTATATGATGGTTTAACCTCTTGAGTACGGTGAGTTAACCCCTTGAGTACAATGAGTTAATCCCTTGAGTACGATGGCTTAACCCCTTGAGTACGGTGAGTTAACCCCTTGAGTACAATGAGTTAATCCCTTGAGTACGATGGCTTAACCCCTTGAGTACGATGAGTTAACCCCCTTAAGTACGTTGGCTTAACCCCCTGAGTACGATGTATTAACCTCTTGAGTACGATGGCTTAACCCCTTGAGTACGATGAGTTAACCCCATCAATGTAATATCTTAACTCTTTGATGAAAATAATTGTTAATTCTTTTGAGTACGATAACACTGTCCTCACAAGGGTTCACCGTACTCAAGGGATTATATCATAGTACTCAAGTTGTTAAATCATTATAGTATTTAAGGTGTTAAATCATCATAATTAAGGTGTTAAATTATAATGGTACTCAAGGTGTTAAATTATAATTTCCAAGGATTTAAAATTACCATGCTATCTGAGTTAATTCATTATACTCAAAGGGTTGACCTATAATGACCAGTTCGAGGTTAAATGTCGATGTAAAACATCAAAGCAATTTTGTGTATTTTTTCACTGGTGTTAATATCACAGCGGGGGTCTTGTGATGTTTCTCTTAAACCTATGTATGTTTGTGTATGTGTGTGCTTGTGTATGTGTGCGTGTTTGTGTATGTGTGTGTGTGTATGTGTTTGTTTGTGAACGTGTGTGTACGTGTGTGTAATGGTCAGCATGCTCGCCTCGCAAGCGAGGGGATCCGGGTTCGATCCTCAGGCAGGGTGAAACTATGGGCAAGTTTCTTTACGCCATTTGCCTCTGTCTACCCAGCAGTAATTGCGGACCTGGATGTTAATCGATTTGCGAATTGTATTCCGGGGTAATGGTTAGCCAGTGCAGATGGCGAGTTGTCCGGTCTTCTCGGACTATTCCTTGACACTGGGTCATGCAGCTCGTTAACTTAGGGTGTGGGTGTTGTGTTGACGACAGCTTCTACACCTTAAACAAATTCACGCCTTGGTGGCCCTTGGACCGGCCATCCTTGTTACGCGAGGGACAACCATTATTATTATTATTTATTTATGTGTGTGTGTACTTGTATGTTTGTGTATGAAGGAGAAATACTTTAAGACACGTATAACAAGAATATGACTGACTGAATAAATAGTGATTGAATGAATGAATAAATGAATAAGTAATATAATGAAAGAATAACGACAACTGGAGAGAGGAGTTATTATATTCAAGAGGTTGTCATCGTACTCGAGGGATTAAGTCATTGTACTCAAGGGGTTACGATACCTAATAGACTTAATTTCATCGTTCTCATAAGATTGGGATCGTAATGAAGGTTTGGTATCGCAGCCAGATAAGACCTGATGCCCTTCTGTGTGCAAAATCCATTCCCAGGGCCGGTATCATCACCCGGATTTAGTGATCCCCGCACAGAGCTGGTCATAACCTCAGTGACCCCCGTACAGAGCTGGTCATAACCCCAGTGACCCCCGTACAGAGCTGGTCATAACCCCAGTGACCCCCGTACAGAGCTGGTCATAACCCCAGTGACCCCCGTACAGAACTGGTCATAACCCAATGGAAAACCCCCACACAGGCTGGTCATAGCAGTGATCCCACACAGAGCTGGTCATAACCCAGTGACCCCCCGCACAGAGCTGGTCACTTAACCCCAGTGACCCCCATGCAGAGCTGGTCATAACCCCAGTGATCCCCGCACAAGAGCTGGTCATAACCCCAGTGACCCCCACTGGCTGGTCACAACCCCAGTGATCCCCACTGAGAGCTGGTCGCAGCAGTGACCCCCGCACAGAGCTGGTCATAACCCCAGTGACCCCCGTACCAGAGCTGGTCATAACCCCAGTGACCCCGCACAGAGCTGGTCATAACCCCAGTGACCCCATTACAGAGCTGGTCATAACCCCAGTGACCCCCGTAGGAAGCTGGTCATAACCCCAGTGACCCCCGCCTGGGGAGCTGGTCATAACCCAGTGACCCCAGCACAGAGCTGGTCCTGCCCCAGTGACCCAGCTGGAAGCTGGGTCATAACCCCAGTGACCCCCGTACAGAGCTGGTCATAACCCCAGTGACCCCCGTACAGACCTGGTCATAACCCCAGTGACCCCCGTACAGAACTGGTCCAAATCCCAGTGTCAATAACGTGGTCATTAAGCCTGGTAATTACCCCTGAGTTTAATTACCCTTGCTTTAATGTGGACTAATTGACTCGCTTCACACAGGAGGTAGAGCAGGGTGTTGAACTTCAGAGAGACACATCTATTGACGTTGTTGTTGTTGTGTGGTAACTCTCCGTCTGTCACACACACACACACACGTAACGTACACACACACACACCATCAAACAAAGAGTCATAAATAATAAAAACTTAACATATGCACAACGCCAACCATTCCCCTGTGTCTTCGTCCAACAGTAATACGCAGGTAGATAAATGAACTCGGCTGGATGAAAGTTATTGGCTATTTTATTTTTCCCGCGTATTTTATTATTATTATTGTTATTATTATTATTTTTATTATTATTATTATTATTATTATTATTGTCGTTGTTATTGTTGTTTTTGTTGTTGTTGTTATTGTTGTTTGTTGTTGTTATTTCTGCCTCGACTGGAATGTAAATAGATCAAATAAAGAGAATATTTTAAACAGAATAATATAGACAGGAGATAAGATGTATTTGACGTGTTTGACTGTCCATGTAATTCTGTCTCTTTAGGCTCCAAGGTACGGTATGTAAGTGTACTGTACGGTAGAGATTATTGAACAAGTGAGTGTGGATATTTCTACTTGTCTTAGCACTTTCTTATTATTTTTTACACTTAACTGCGGCACTACTTTCACTGCAGTCTCTTCCTTTTTCTCCTCCTCCTCCTCCTTCCCTTTCTTCTCCTTCCCCTTCCTCTTCCTCTTTCTTTGAGGTTTCTGTACCCCTTAATCCACCTCATGCAGAAGTTGGAGAGATAGATAGATAGATAGATAGATAGATAGATAGATAGATAGACAGACAGACAGACAGACAGACAGACAGACAGACAGACAGACAGACAGATTATTAAGAGACGACAAGACAGAGACAGACGGAGAGGTGGAGAAAAGGAAAGGAAGATAATTAGAGAGACAGAGACAGAGACAGAAGGGGAAGGAATTAATCAGAAAGGGAAGGGAGAGGTCAGGAATAGTGGGAGAAAGTTGGGTTGGGGAGGAAATAAATATTGAAAGAGAGAATAGAAAAGAGAAATAGAAAAAGGGAAGGTAAATATTCGAGGGGGAGAAAAGGAAGGAGGAAACTTAAGGGAGTGAAGAGAAAGACTGCTACGCCATATCTTTTATCCAATCAATAAATCAACCTCCCTTCCTCTCTTCCTCCCTTCTTCTCTTCCTCTCTCTCCATTCTTGCCTTCTCACCCTCTCTCCCTCTTCCCTCTTCCCCTCTCTTACCCACATCGCCCCATCCTCCTCCTGCTCCTCTCCACCTAGACACTCGATGATAACAGAGATAAGCCATACTGTACCGGGAACTAATGTCGATGGATCACTCACAAGCCTCTAACAGATCCGTGGAAACTAAGTAAGGGAAAAAGATTTCGTTTATGACCAACAGGGAATTCTATCACTAAATATTTTATTCTCGTGTTTTTTTTTCATTGTAATTTGATCGAATATGGCCTTTATTTTGGGGGCTATTTCATATTGTTTTTAGATACTACCATGATTTGCACCGATGGCAGAGGAAAAGTGATTCTAATCTTGTTTTTGCGTGTTTTCGGTATTTAGGTCACGAGGGAGTCATAACGCGAATGAATACAGTTACATGAATATTTTTTGGTGGCATGTGTGTAAATCTTCCCCCTGAGAGATTTGATCTGTCCTCTGATTGGTCAAAGCAGATCATGTGAAGCTCACATGAAAGAGATTTAAATAAAATATTCCGTGAAAATATGTTTAGCGAATTTAAAATCTGTCAATATTGTTGTATCTTGGTCATGTCCAGTTCACTTTTACTTTACTTTTATCCTCTTCACCACTGATCGGCTCGTTAGCCGCTTGGGCGATCGGTCACAGTTCGCAAGTATAAAACGAATCTTTGCCAAATAAAATTCCCTAAATTTATTATGAAATAAGATGGTGGAAATCTAACTTAGAGAGAGAGAGAGATTCACCTCCTAAGTGCCATCTTACCATCATTGTTAATTAAATGAGGTTACATAACTGATATTTGACACGGGATCAGGTGTCATAAATGAGTGTCACATATCCCCTCCCTCCTACCCCCCCCTCCTACCCCCCTCCCTCCATATCCAAAACAACTTATCATCATCACTCAATTAAGTCCTCGGGCTAAATACTCCAGTCCTCCAAACCCATGCAGTCCATTTTTCAAGTATTAGCCAAGACGGTCTACCTCCTCCTCCTCCTCCTCCCCTCACTTTACCAGAATTTTCGAAAACCGAATTTGCATATCGTGTGAGTCTCTCCTCTCTGGGTTAATTTGCATGACTCACTTACGAGAAATTGGAAAGGAATTCACACACGGTCTAATTTTCCTGATGGTGAGGCCCTTGTTGTCCTCCTTGACGGGTGAGGGTGGAAAATAGAATGTTATTGGTTGAAGGAAAATGGAGGAGTAATGGGGGGAAAAAAGAAAATAATTATAGGAAAATAGAATAATTATAGAGAAAAAATACAATATCGATAATTGAAGGAGCTAGAATAATAATCGAAGGGAAATTGTAATAAAAAGAAAAATGGAGTAGAAATTGAAGATAAAGAGAAACTTAATTCAAAAGAAAATATTAAAAATTAAAGAAAAATTAACATCAAAAAGATTCAAGGAAAAAAGTGACAGGAAAACAAAAATAAATTACAAAGATTAAGAATAATAGGAAAAATGGTAGATAAAAGTAACTAAAGAAAATAGGACAAGAAAAAGTAGCATTGTCTTCATCACTTTTTTGTTTTACATTAAACATTTACGAGTGTCTATTGTTTTTGTGAAGGAATTAACACCTCTCCATAATTATCTCGTGACGACCCGAGGAATGTAACATGTAAGTTTATTCTCTTCATTATAAACATCAGACGACAAGGGTTTTAATATATGCAAAATAACTCATGGGATCTAGTCCTTAATTATAGCTCAGTGTTTATTTAGTGCTATGAATATTTGATAAAGGTTTAATACAAATAAAAGATTTGTAGTCGAATTTAGGGGGAGAAAAAAAGTTGTAGGTACAGTATTTTGAAGTCACTCCTTGCGGATAAAGAAAATGAACGCTTGACAGAAACAGAAAACGAATTTTATTTTTTAGCACCAGTGAAAGGAAATCTTGATACAGAGTTGAAATTGTTCCCTTTTTTCTCCACAAGACGTCAAGTCACACCTTTAAAAGAAAAATGATAGAAATGAAAACATATTTCCTTTTAAATTTAGTCGAAATGGTATTGCTATAGACTTGAAATAGAGTGAAAAAGTCAACACAAATATTTCTGTTGTTTTAGCTTGGGTGTGTAAGGCGGGTGACGGAGATGTGGGACTGCTATCAGAGATGTATATCATCACAACCTAGGGTGGAGGGGGATGCTGATGAGTGATGGTGGGTTGTGAGAAGAAAAAGCAATGTCGTATAAACCTGGTGAATGGTGAGCTTTGTGGTGTTATGAAGAAGGAACACCCCAGCAACACCGATCAGCCACCACAGTAGTGAAGTGAGACAGAATGACAACGAATGATGGGAGGTAGAGTGACTGATAACGGCGACTGATGACTGAATATTCTCTCCTGTATAGAATGGGAGAGGGCACAGTAACCTCAAATAATGGTGGAATGGATGAAATAATAATAAACGTGGTGTAAAGTAAAGTGGTGTAAGTGAGAGAAAGGTGTTGTCAAGACCACCGATAAGAATTACTTATTAGTTAATTATTTCTGAGGTTAATGTGTTTGTACAGATGAGAATTAATCACGAAATTTCAATACAATCCCAACACGAGTCATATAAGCCTTTAAGGTCATCCTCCACTCAATCCTTATAGTCTAAGGTCATCCTCCACTTACACAGCCATAGTCTAAGCCTCTAAGGTCATCCTCCACTTACACAGCCAACAGTCATCCTCCACTCAATCCTCATTGTCTAAGGTCATCCTCCACTCAACCTTCATAGTCTTAGGTCATCCTCCACTCAATCTTCATAGTCTTAGGTCATCCTCCACTAAACCTACATAGTCTTAGGTCATCCTCCACTCAATTCCAATAATCTAAGGTCATCCTCTTACTCGCAGGACTACACGGTGGACCTGTACCTTCGACAGCGTTGGCTGGAGCTGAGGTTCATGAACAACTCCCTGACGCGGCCCATAGACCTAAACGACCCTCGCTGGTGAAGATGCTATGGAAGCCGGAGGTCTACTTCCCTAACGCTAAGGAATCCGACTTCCAGTATGTGACCGTCCCTAACGTTATGCTCCGGATACACCCCGACGGCACCATCCTCTACATCCTCAGGTACGTTATGCCCGATACAACCCCGACGGCACCATCCTCTACATCCTCAGGTACGTTATGCTCCGGATACGCCCCCGACGGCACCATCCTCTACACTCCTCAAGTTTGCTATCATCCTCATAAGGCTCAGGTGACTCCTGTTTGGTATTCGCTTGTACTATCATCCTCTCCATCCTCGTATACTTGAAGGATGAGAATCAGTGTAGTCATCCGTTTATCCTCAGGTGTCTCAAGCGTCTCATGTTTCCTTCATTTTAAAGTATGCTGCACACACACACACACACACACACACACACACACACACACACACACACACACACACGACACACACACACACACACACGCGCGATCCAAAAACAGTATCATGTCAGTTTTAACCCAATAGACTTTAAACCACACTCTTACTGCCTCTAAGTACCCAGATTCTACTTGTATCGGCTCTAAAATCTTGATCGTCTTAAAATACCTCGTAATCGAAGCAAAATCACGAACCCTGGGTATATTTATAATTAAGAGATGAATTTCACTCCAACGCCTTAGGATACCAAACCCACAACAATACACAGATTCTAGATAACATGTTTGTGAGTTTCTTCTTCCCAGAATCTACTTTCCTGGAGTTTCCGTGTTGAGGAAGTTAAAGGTGAGCTGTGACTTGTAAGCTCCGGGAAGTGAACAATGGTGATTAAAAACTCCCTGTGCGCTTGGTCGTTGTCCCCATTATGCACGACTTTGAGGGTTGTCCACTGTAATAAAATATATCTCTGTGCTGATAACAATGTAGCTATAAGACACTATTTTGATTATGTTTTTTTACAGGTGCACAGAGAGTTTTCGATCACACCTGTAGTAATTGTTCCCACAGGTGTTTCATAACCCCGTGTACTGTATGTCTGTAATGAATCTCTCCAGGCTGGGAGTTTGTTGTGTTTGGTTCTATAACTCATGAATAATTACCTCCATTTCTCTTTATTGATTACACCAACTGGTCATTTACCTTAACTGGTCATTATTACTTTAGCGGACATTACCTTAACTGATCATTACCTAACTGGTCATTACCTTAACTGGTCATTATCTTAACTGGTCATTGTCTTAACTGGTCATTATCTTGTCATTATCTTAACTGGTCATTATCTTAACTGGTCATTACCTTAACTGGTCATTACTTTAACTGATCATTATCTTAGCTGATCATTACCTTAAGTGGACATTGCCTTAACTGATCATTACCTTAACTAGGTCATTACCTTAACTAATCAATACATTACACATTACACAACTGATTACACATTTAAATGACTGTCTTAAAATTTGTAAGTGACTGAAATAACTCTCTCTCTCTCTCTCTCGGCAGACTGAAGCTGACGTTCTCTGCATGATGGATCTTCAGTTCTCGACCACCAGACCTGTACATCCAGATTGCCAGCTGTAAGTGGTCAGTGAGGGAGGTGAGTGGGATTGTTGGAGGTCATTAGGGAGGTGTTGGGGGATTGTTGGAGGTCATTAGGTGGGGAGGGATTGTTGGGGGTCATTAGAGGTGGGGATTGTTGGGGGCTCTAGTGAGGTGTTGGGATTGTTGGAGGGCTTAGAAGAGTGAGGATTGTTGGGGGCTACATGAGAGTGAGGGGGGTTGTTGGGGGCTGACTAGGAGGAGTGAGGGGTGGAGAGGGATTGTTGGGGTCATTAGGGAGGAGTGAGGGGTGGGGAGGGTATTGTTGGGGGTCGTCAGGGAGGGGTGGGGTAGGGGATTGTTGGGGTAATGATAAGGTCTAGAGTTATATAGGCAGAACTGATTGGCTTACTGAGGGGACCAATCGTGAGCTAGATGAAAATAATTATACTAGTGAGTTAATTACCTATTTGGACACCGGGAAAGGATTAATTAATTAGTATATGGTTAAATATAATTGAGTGGATTAGGAATAGAAGAATTAAATAGAATGATGAGAAAGAGGGTGTTAAAGGTTATAGAGTATAGTTGTTCAGGATGGGTGGTGTGAGGTGTCCTGTTGTCCATCTGGGAGTGTGTGTGTGAGGCGAGATGAAGGAGGAAGTGGAGGAGGAGTGTGAAAATGAGAAGTAGTAGTAGTAGTAGTAGTAGTAGTAGTGAAGGTGGTTGGAGCACAGTCCCGACCACACTGGCATTCCTGGCCGTCTCGAGTACATTATACTTATGCACTATTAAGTTAACTAGGTGTTGTGTGTTTTTGTGTTTTTGTTGTGTTCCCGTGTCCCATCCGTTTCCCCGTGTCCGGCCATCCCGTGTTTCCTCCCGTGTCCGGCCATCCCGTGTTTCCTCCCGTGTCCGGCCATCCCGTGTTTCCTCCCGTGTCCGGCCATCCTGCATTAATTAAGCGGGAAAATGCTTGAGGGCGTAAAAAAATAATAATAATAAAACGAGCAATTTTCAGTAATTATGTAAATGTAAAATAATTAAACCCCACCTGCTAATGTAAGGTACGAGGTGTATATATATATATATCAACAGCTATATAATTGTGGTACTGTATTCACATAATTATGATACAGTACAGTTTAATTCATATGTCAACAACCTCCCAATTATTTCTCTTCTTTAATTACCCAAAATTCTCTACGATTCTTAATGGCTTATCATGACTCACCGTCTGCCTCTCCTACATAACCAGTCATCCCGTTGTGTTCTCTGGGCCAAGGACTATACAGAAAGACAAGAAACCTCTGATTAAGATAAAGTAACGCTGTTTTCGGACACTAACGCCATCTATCGAGTCATCAGAGAAGTATACTGCACGAGGATTAATACACGGACAACATCTCACACTCGTCTCCGGAAACTGATAACAAATTTACTAAGGCTTTGTGACTTTATTTTCCCTCTGTTGAATTGTTTTTATCATCATAGTGAAACAGAACAAGAAGTATCTGGTGACCTCCCATGGTATCGAATTAACAAGGAGGATATTAAATAACCTTCCTCAAACAACCACCCCTTAAACCACTTCGCTAACTACCCCATTAAACACAGTACAGAAAAATAATAGGCTGAATTAAGATGTCATTATCACCTTGAAAATTTAATTAACTTATAAAATACTGATGGTGTTTGTGTATGTTTCTTGGTGTTTGTATTTTGGGTGTGTGGGTGTTTTATTTTGACCATTATTCGTGGATCTCTGTCTCTTCCTCTCCGTCTCTCTCTATCTCTCTTTCTCACAGTCCTGTCTATTGAAGTTTATCGCGATAGACTACAGCTAATAGATATGTTTATCCAGTTGCAATCTATCGCCCTAGACCTCAGTTAATAGATGATTAGTCCAATTCTATCGAAATAGACACGATAGATCGATCGGCTGGTTCTAATAGATCACAATAGACAGTTAATAGACAATAGATAGATCAGGAGGTCCCAATAGATCACAATAGACAGTTGGGGTAATTACTCTCAACTGTCAATGGTAACCAAGCACCATTAATTTGGGCTGATCAATGACCAAAACATATAATTTTTAGCTCTTTGGTGTGTGTGTGTGTGTGTGTGTGTGTGTGGAGGGGGGTAATGTGTATGTATGTGGGGGTTATACAGTATGTGTGTGTGTGTGTGTATATATGTGTGTGTGTCTGTGTGTGTGTGTGTGGTGTATATGTCTGTTAATCGCTCCCTAGTACTTAGACATTATTAATATATTATAACGTCAACACAACACAACCTTGACATTATAACATCAACATAACACAACCTTGACATTATATAACATCAACATAACACAACCTTGACATTATAACATCAATACACAACCTTGACATTATAACATCAACACAACACAACCTTGACATTATAACATCAACATAACACAACCTTGACATTATATAACATCAACACAACACAACCTTGACATTATAACATCAACACAACATAACCTTGTCATTATAACATCAACACAACACAACCTTGACATTATATAACATCAACACAACACAACCTTGACATTATAACATCAACACAACACAACCTTGACATTATAACATCAACACAACACAACCTTGGTCATATTCTATCAGATACATTAAATTATTACATGAATGGGAAGAGGTAAGATGGTTTGATGGGAGATATAGAATACTTGAGTGAATTATATATCAGGAGTGTTACGGCCGATGAATTGACTTGATGGGGTCAGGCTTACTTGGTCACCAGGTCGAGTCTAATCTGATAACAAATCGTACTCCTTATTTTTATTATTATTATTATTATTATTAGCAGTAGTAGTAGTAGTAGTAGTAGTAGTATTGTTGTTGTAGTTGTTTTAGTACTTTGTGTTACGGGTCCGTTAAACTGCTGGGTGGACATACAAACACATACCCGTTGTTTAAATTTGTAAACAAAGGATCTTGTGTGTGTGTGTGTGTGTGTTTTTTTTTTTTTACTATCTGTCACGGAAATGTAATAAAAGATTATCACTGCGCAGATTCTAGAGACACGTTGTTCCCTGACGAGTTTATTACCGACCGCTGAAATGGTAAAATTGTGGGTTATGGTAACTGTAATTTGTTATATCTCCATCAGCTGAAAACCTAGAGCCATCAATGACCATTCAATTTTATTCTCTTGGTGGACTCTTTACAGTGATATTAAAAATTTTCTTATTTAATATTGCAGAAGGTCACCAAAGGAAAAAATGTCACAGTCAAAGGTCAAAAAGTCAGGTAACGCTAAAAATCCAGGTTTTAACAAATGTACTGCATTTACTGTCGTTTTACATGCTAAGAAAGGTGATTATGTTTGTTAGTGCGGCTTTAGAGGCCTCTGGTGATTGCTTGAAAGTGGCTACTCATAATAAAAGAAAATTACCATCAGTTTGCTTGTCTTTATTGAATAAAATTTGCAAAAGTTCCAATATCGTGTATGGTGTTGACAAACCTTGCACTGGAACAGACATACAGTATAACAAAGAAGGAAATATTAGCATGTTCAAAGGCATTACCCCTGTAGAAATCGCACATGAAAACTACATCAAGACATTACCGTGTTGTATTCTGCAAGTGTAAGCAGTCCCCAAAGTGTATCAGGAAGTCCCCATGTTCCTAGTCACCCATCCCATGCATTACCACCTGTTGCTGTGGCAGTGATCCTGAGAACTGTGGAAGGTTAGCAGCTTTATGACAGTGATGGTGAATAATGACACACGCTCACTCATAATCGTCATCTGTAGCCGCTCACATATATTGGCCTTCCTCATCCCAGTAATCTTGGTATATCAATATTTATTCATCAGTCAATTAATCAGAGTACAGTCTTCATATCTGAGTTGGCGACCACAGTCCTCCACTTTAAACGTTCTCGGGCTGTTTTTATCAATCCTCTTTGGTTTTGTATCTCTCTGGGGACCCAATTTTTTGTTTCACTCATCTATCCCAGTCTCTGCCCTCCCCTGACCCTCCTACCTTCAACTTTACCCATTAATATTTCTGTTATTGTCCCCTCATCCTTAGTTATATGACGACACTATCTAATTTTACTTTTTGTTATTTTTAGATTAAGGATACCCAAATTATGTTAAATCAACCTTTAAACTACGGTCAACACGATTTGCCTACAACACTAATCTTTGTGAGAAATTGCACCTGATAATAGCGTCATCTGTTGAGCCGTCAGAAAATTAATTCTGGTAATCTCACGTAACGCGAGCTTTATTGTATTTCTGTATAGTATATAATCTTAGTTCTTGTTTTGATCACTTAACGTCATCCTATCCTCTCTTGTATGCTGTTACCCCAACACTGTCTTGTCCGGTCACACCGCCGCCACTACCCAGTCGCCAAGACCACTAGGGAACTGAAACTGGTGTGGTACGAGGACGTCCCAATCAAGATGTACAAGAGGCTCAAGTTGCCACAGTTCGAGATTAAGAAGATTAGTGTGGACACCTGCAACCAGTCATTCCATATTGGTGAGTTGTGGAGGGTCTCTCTCTCTCTCTCTCTCTCTCTCTCTCTCTCTCTCTCTCTCTCTCTCTCTCTCTCTCTCTCTCTCTCTCTCTCTCTCTCTCTCTCTCTCTCTCTCTCTCTCTCTCTCTCTCTCTCTCTCTCTCTCTCTCTCTCTCTCTCTCATCAAACAAGGCTTCACATAATTGTACTTATTGTATCTACTCGTCATACTTGGTAAAACATCTTCAGGACGAAGCCATCAGGCCTGTGTGTATAATCTTCTCTGTCAGTCTTAGTGGAATCCAACCCTGTTTGTTAATGCTTGTTATTAATCACATTTACTTACCCTCATTGCATCTGCCAGTATTAATTGCATCTGTTTGTATTATTTCCATTTACTTATGTAATTGACTTAGAGAAACTCACACTAACGTACATATCAAACTTATAATCAAACGATACATTAAAACTAAGGAGTCTCACGTTAATACGATTCAGTGTCAATGCTCATTTATACCTACTGTTGTGAGTGGTTGAATACACGAGTGGGACTCACAGCTGAAGGTGTGAGTGAGTATCCAGACTTTTATTGATTTAATGTTTCCTTCTTTTACTGTGAGTTTCATTCACATTTCTATCTTACTCGTGTCAGGCACATCTACTGTATACTTGTACTCTGTGGTGAGTTTTGTTAATACACTGACGAGCTCAATTATTCCTCTAATCACAACTACCAACAATATTTTGGATTATATCTTGTAGTTAGTCTGTTACTGTAATCATAACAACACATACAGTCTCTTGTTAACTTATTATCGTTGTAGTTGGTGAAGGACGTGTGAACATTTAAAATCCATTGCAGGTAACTACAGCTGCCTGCAGGCGGTGTTTAACCTGCGTCGTAACATCGGTTACCACCTGGTGCAGTCCTACCTGCCCACCTCCCTCATCGTGGTAGTGTCGTGGGTCAGCTTTTGGCTTGACGTAGATGCCATCCCCTCCCGCGTCACACTGGGCGTCACCACACTACTCACCGTGTGTTCAGAGTCCACCTCCTTCAGGGACAAGATGCCCACAGGTGAGACATGTAGCAATGACCGAGTTGGTGAGAGAAGACTGTAGTAATACACCTGGTAGGTGAGTGTGTTGGTGGCTCTCGAGGTTTTCTGATCACAAGTTTAAATATTGCCTTTATAGAGAGTGTATGCCACAGGAAGATTGTAATTACAGTTTATAGTTCTGAAAAACCAGAACTAAACGTGTAATAGATGTAACAATTTACGTCAGTGTGACCCACTTGTTTATATAGTAAAATCTGTAATAAATTATTGTCAAGATAATGTTTAACTTTCCGTTGCAGTAATTATAATAATGTACCATACTAATGTCATATATCATGTATATTATATTTTCTTATGTACTGTACTTAATTATGATAAATATGATGGAAATATAAGTTATTTCTGGCTCAACAGTATTTACCTAAATGATAGTACTCAAGGGACGTATCAATACTTCACTTAATGACTGTATATGAAGGCTGGTTTTACCTAATTTCTTATACATATTTATTTATTTCCATGTTAACTTACCACCATATTCTTGTGGCGCCACAGTGAAAACTTTATCTTGATGTCTTCTCCATATGTTTATTTTTCCCCTTCACTAACGTTCTCATCATTTCCTTAGTTTCGTACGTGAAGGCTCTGGACATCTGGATGGGGTCTTGCACAGCCTTCGTGTTCTTGGCATTGGTCGAGTTCACGGTAGTCAACCACATCGCTCGACACCACCGCCGCTTCCTCTTCTGGGGGAATGTGTATGGCCAGCCAATTCCTTCCTCCTCCACGCCTCCCCATGCTGCCCCCTCTCACCGCCACCATCTCCACCCCAGAAGCCTCGGCAGGTTCTCCTCTAATGAGTGTCCCACCCATGGTTCCATCTACGCCTGTGTCAGAGCGATTACTCAGAGCGGTGGTCAGGAGGTCCTGCAGCGTCATGATTCAGGCAAACACGTCCGCAAGAAATCTGCCATATCACTGACGGTCGTAAGTAATATGTATAGTTCAACTTTGGTCAGTAAATAGTGCTATAGTCTATTAAAAGTAAACAAACGTGAAATAATGTGAGAAATTGATTTATTAATGATCGAGAGGTAAGAGTTTAATCTTATTAATCAAGAATAAAACCGCAAAAGAACAACAACTCCAGGCCTATTGTTTTAGTGTTAGGTTCTTTTCATAAGATAGATAAAAACAAATGCCTAAAACTTTTTCATAACATTAATGGAGCGAGAAACCAATATTTTCTACAAGTACACCAAACATTCCCGTAATGTCACACACACACACACACACACACACACACACACACACACACAGCTGTCATGAACACGAACAGGAGTGGCCTCGAGGCATCAACATCTACCTGGGCTGACAGGTACCGTCAAGGACGCAATAGTTTAATGGGATCAACCAAAGAACATTCCTAAAAAAATTTAATCAAGTTAAGCCAAAAGTTTCGAACAATATATAGTAGCGTCCGCCATCTTGGGTGGCTTAAGATTACGTCACACAAAATTGTATCAGGAACATTTCTGGACACTGTCGGTAGAAATACACTAGTAGTTATCGAGAAGTTTATGGCCGACCTTAGCAATAGTTCAGACAGATCCATCAATAATTTGTCATTAACTTTCCTAAAAAGAAAATAACATTAACAGCTTTTTATCTGTCTTATTAATTTTCCTTTGATCACCAGTCACTTCAAATACATTTTATCACGTCAGCCTTGTGCCTCAAAGACTGCCAGAGTGCACCACCATACCTGCAAAATTACTGATAGCCTTTGAAACCCTGATATAAGTAAAGGAATTATCATATTCTTTTTTTTCAATATCCCCACGTTTAGAGTTTTTCATATACATCAAAGGAAATCAGTTATTCCCGCTGTCTGGTTGATAACGTGATAGTGATATACATAGAAGTCATTCTCCTGCATGCTCGCCAAAACACTGTGAGGTTTTATCGTGCTCTTTCAGTAGTGTTCAACCGGCATTTTAACTTCAATATACGGTGTGGGTCTCCCGCTTGGATCAGGAGCTTGTAGTGTTGCAGGTGTCTGTGTTACTTCCAATCTGGCAACATTCGGGGATATATATAAATACTGAAGGTAGAAGGAAAGGTATAGCGCGTTAAAACACAATATAGATATAGCAGGAAGAACATAAACATTTTAAAAGTATATGTAGTGAACCTAACCTGACCTAACCTCCCTCCCTCCCACCCAAAGTAGCGATAGGATTAGTCTTGACATGAAATAAAATGGGTTGTCAGATCTTCAAGTGATTCTTAAAATTTGGTGACTAACTCAACACTAGGTTAATATTCCTCTTGAGAACTTTGTGGTGGTGAGGTAAGAAGGTGATTGGTGTTACGGCAGACTGTACATGCGGGTGATGATACTTCGAGGGTTCTGTAGATAAATTAAACTTAGTTTTAAAAGTATAAAAATAATAATAATAATAATAAACTTACAGTAAACCTAACCTTACCTAAAGTATTCTTACCTAACCCAACACAGTATGAATAAGTACAGTCGGGGTCAACAGTTCGCTCCCGCTCAAAATGAAGCAGCATCGACCCCAAATGAGATGAAACAGTCAGGGTAAGTCAGTTCGGAGACTCGTTCCCATGACACAGTTTCACCACAGAGAGCGAACTTTTGTCCCCGACTGTACATAAATATTTACAAGAATTACCACCACCACAATATGCATCAATATAAAAGTAATTTAACTAACCTAATAATAATAATAGTAAAGGGACCAGCTTGATAATTGAAACAGAACAATATAGAACTGTCAGTCGTGTGAGCAAGTGTGTAGCTCACCACAATACCCGCCAACCAGACCTCATCAGCGCCCGGTTACTACCCAACACCTAACACGGAACACCTTTAGTCACTACACTCTTAAGCTTAAGAATTTTCAGTCGATTATTTTTTTTTTACTCCTCTCACATTATTATGTTGAGTGAGTCAAGGAGTACAGAAACTCAAAGAGGGAGGAGAGGGGGGTAAGAGGGAGTGAGAGGGTAGAGGGGGGTGAGAGGGTAGAGGAAATAAGATAAGTGATGGGAAATGACAAGAAATGACTAAGACAACAACTAGAAATATCTATAAACCCTCACCTATCATACAAAATATATAAAGTGATTCACATCCTATTCTAAATAAAAAAATCAACAGACACGAGAAACTAAACAATACGGAGCTAAGATCAATGGACACTTATCAAAAGGCAGAGGTCAAAGTTTCGCCTCATGTAAATAAACACAGTACACTCACATACAACACCATCACTATCACCATCACCATCACTATCACCACCACCATCACTGTCACCATCATCACTATCACCACCAACATCACTATCACCACCACCATCATCACTATCACCACCATCATCACTATCACCACCAACATCACTATCACCACCAACATCACTATCACCACCACCACCATCACTATCACCACCACCACCATCACTATCACCACCATCATCACTATCACCACCAACATCACTATCACCACCACCATCATCACTATCACCACCACCATCACTATCACCACCACCACCATCACTATCACCACCACCATCACTATCACCACCACCATCACTATCACCACCACCATCATCACTATCACCACCACCATCACTATCACCACCACCACCATCACTATCACCACCACCATCACTATCACCACCACCACCGTGACCACCAGACTCAGATCAGTAGAGTATTCCCATTGTCGAGAATTTATTTCCTGGGTGACCATTTCCACCTCCTGTGAATGTGTCTTTCATCCCATCCATCTCCTTCTCACTCAACCTACGATCCCCTTTTGAATTGGACTCTTCTTACCACTTTTTTTTTACTTCCTATTCTGTCTCTCTGTCTATTTGTATGTCTTAATCTGTCTATCTGTCTTTTTGTATGTCTGTATGTCTGTCTGTCTATTTGCATGTCTCTGTTTCTCTCTTTAACACACACAATGATGTACCACTCAACCCACTATCAACTATTAACAATACGTCCATCCCACAAGAAACTATGAATTTAGAGTAAAGCGGCCAGCAAGTTAACAAAGAGATGGGGTGTGTGGGGCGATACTACAGCTGTGGCCGCGAAACACACCCTAACCCAACCTAGTGTTGGTTAGTGTTTGTAGTGGACTTGTGTGCAGTGGTTTATATTTAGTGTCGAGGTCTGTTTTTGGTATTCATGTCATCTCTTTGTTTCTCTTCAGGAAACCAGAACAGACAGGGAAGAGGTCAACACACGCAGGAGCAGTAATCCTGAAGAGGAGACCCGCCCCACCCCGCCTCCTGACGTGTACCAAGACGTAACAAACGGTGGAGGTCACCAAGGTGAGACAGGTGGTGGTAATAACGGGGCCAGCTGCTGCAGCAACCACGAAAATGACGACGATGACAACGAGGGCTCGTGTTCTCGTACCCTCAGCGACGTGGGCTTAACGTGTCTGCCGTCGTTATGGCGTAAGGAGGCCATGCTAGCTAAGAGGATCGATAAGACGTGCAGGGCGCTCTTCCCAGCCCTCTTCATCCTCTTTAACCTCGTCTACTGGCTATACTACCAAGTCTTCTCGTGATAACATATGGCGTCTCTGTAGTACTACCTGCCGGCCATATCAGTTCACCGTCATATGACATGTCTTGTTAACTCTAGTACCGGGTCCTCACTCTTTATGTCCACACTATCTGTACTTCCTAAACTAACTGGCACAACCACAGATAACTTGCTAGATGACTTCATCACTCCCAGACCTCTTGATAGGTTATCAGGCTCTCGCTTGGCCTTTTTCAGTGTGCATCTCAGAATATACTTCCAACGCCATACCTTGTTACCTGTTTATCCGTATAGCGCACAATCATCTTTTAGCTGTTAGTATAAGCATTTAATAGTTCGTCTCAATGTCAAACACCAATTTTTAGCTGCCAGTCACAGGTTATGGAGGTACAGACTATTTTGCTGTTTACAGTATTCGCACCAGGAGGGTGGCCAGTAGACCATTGTTGCTGCCATCACATTCCTGAACGCTTCTGTTTGCTTATCTTCCGATGTGTCTCAAATTTACATTGTTAGTTTGGTAAACTTATTCTTAGGCTTGATTGTATAAACAGGTTATGTAGTATTCATCTCGGTGAGGAAGAAGCTTGACTGTGTTGTGGGCAGAGGACTTGTAATGTCTCATTACTTTGAGTGACCAGATGTCGGATCCACGTGATGTAAACAAAACAACTTTTAAATAAAGTTTCTTATTATTCTCTGTTAATCCCTGTACTGTTTCACCTCGTGTTTGTACTGCGTAATATTACATGTGTGAGATCCTGGTTATAGAGTAGGAGAAATAACACTTTCATTATCATAAGATGGTACACTTGGTACAGTGCTATGTATGTTAGTGCTGTGTCAAGAGGTTGTGATCAGAAAGTAGCAGAAATACACATGAAAACAAAATGACATACAGTACCTTTTAGAGATTATTGTAATTAGTACACTTGAACTTTAATATACCTGTACTAGTGTATTAGCCAAGTTGATACACGATTGGAACTTTAAGAGCTCAACCTTGCCTCCCTCCATAGCAGTTAAGCAACATGCTGTACGTTTGTACCTCATGTTGTAGGTAGATACAGCCATCACATCCACACGCACGCGTGGATTACATTCTAATTGATAGATTTTATATATATATATATATATATATATATATATATATATATATATATATATATATATATATATATATATATATATACTATACCGTGCCTATAACTACAGTATAGTTCTTAATAACCCTGGCAGTTGAAGCATTAACACTACAGTAACTTTTATACAACTACACTACATAAAAAAATAAGAATGGGGAAACTGCATCGGGCCTATTGGCCCAGACTGGGCAGTCCCTTTCATATAAAATATAAGAAAATCTGATTGTGATGTGAAAAAAAATTACAATAGAATATAAAAAAAGCAGTGGCGTTTAGAAGTGTCAACCAACAGCAGAAGATGGTGTGTCCAGTGTATGGCAGCTCAGCACACCTCTGGCTTGAGGAAGCACAGAAGGCCACTACAGGATCTGGGTACGAGAGCTGCTCCCGGATAAACTGAGATTGGATACCCTCCCCAATTGCACTAAGCCTCGTGTACACCAAGATACGTTGTTTAGAAACAGTCGCGCAACAATGTTTCTGGACTGTTGCAAGACAATCCAGGAACAGTCGCGAGACAGTCCAGAAACACTTGGGAGACACGGCACCATTGTTTCTGGACTGTCTAGTGACTTTTGCGAAACGGTCCAGAAACAATCGGTAAACATTGTTGCTGGACTGTTTCTCGATTGTTTCGCAACAGTCGCGAGACAGTCCAGAAACATTGTTCTTGCACGTCCAGACCAAGCTAGAGCGATGAATTGACGGGAAGACCAGTCGACATCGTCATGTCGGTGGATGCAGAAGTGGCCGCATGCGGCGGGTGCCTGTTTTGTTATTTCCTTAGAAGAAAGAAGGCGGAGAGCAAGGAAAAGTCCGAGACGATGGTGGATGGAGAAATTTTTTGATGAAGGAACAACATATCGAGAAAAACTAATGACAGACTTGAAACTAGAAGATGCAACTGGATTTAGAAACTTTTTGAGAACAACAGCACTTATGGGGGGAAATTCGTGATAGGGTAGAAATAACACATCAAGGTGCATTAAGCATGACACTGGATTATTACACGCGCTAGTTACTGGCTCTAGTACAGTATTAACAGCCAGGGTTCACCAGATACAAAGAGATGGTCATGTGTGATACCATAATATTTAACCGTAACCAATCGAATATGAAATTCAGACGAGCATTTCTGATTTTATTTTATTTTTTTGCTTTTGTGTGAGCTTTGACACTAATAAATATTTATACGCCACGACTTAGTTTCCTATGTTGCACAATGACATAAATAAATCACTTTAATGATGTTTACAATTAAAAGCGGTATTTCACTTCACATGTACTATATAATTTTAGAGATTTGGCGCCTGTTTCTTCAATCACATCCGAAACAAATCTGTTATTATTATTCATTAAGCACCTCACTATTAATCCTTCAAAAAAAATAATAAAAAAGATGAGCCGTTGATTGCGTATGACAAATAATGACAACAACTACCGCCAGGGGGTCACGGAAGCTCCTCGAGTAAACAAATGGAGAGGATTCAAAGTCGTCGTGCTGCCGTAAATGGCTCTAAGTTTTGTGTATTAACTTAGAAGCCACTGCCATATGTGTTCGGTGCTCAGTGACAATGATTGTGAAAGCTGGAAAGAAAATCGGGAATCGCTGTGAAAATGACACGAGAAGGTAGATGTTCGATCAGAACGCCCGCATCCACTCCCCACTTCTGTGTTCACCGGATATTAAAAGGTATTGTGTTAGTTAATTAACATTATGTAAATAGCTGTTCTTAATTTAGCCAATTTTAGCTTTTATTTTTACTGACTGGAAATTCAAATCATAAGAAAAAATAATCAAAGTCTTAGTTCTTAACCGTGTGGTACCATCAAATTGAGTCAAGTGGCAGACGACTCAAACCATGTACAGTGTAACACCCAACTTAATTACATTAGTTGGGTCTCTTATCCAGGTCTTTGACTTGTGAGTCTGTCCAATACATAGCCAGTCGTTTCTCGAGTGACAGCCCCTTTATGGAGAGTAACCTAACCTAACCAATACTCAGTCGTGCAGTTCATTATGCGGTTATATTACACTGATTAGTTTATACCTCAGTTCGGTGTGTCTTGAACGACTCGTTAAATTCGTGAGCTCAAACTCGTACTTTATCGTTTCCACTGGGTTTGTATTGTGTTATTATTAAAATAAACGAAATATTGTGGCAGAGAAAAAGCAAACATGTACCAAATTATCTTCACCGGGTTAGAGTGCTTTCACGCCAAATTGTCCGAACAAGTGAGTCAAGTTAACAATACATAAGAACATAAGAAAATAAGGAGTCTACAATTGGCCGGTTGGCCTGTGCATGGCAGCTCCTGTCGAGAGTTACTACCACTCTCTATCATCCATGAATCTATCTAGCCTCCTTTTGAAACTTTCCAGAGTTCCTGCACTTACTACAAAGTTGCTAAGCTTGTTCCACTCGTCCACCACCCTATTTGTGAACCAGTTTCTTCCTATCTCCCTCCTAAACATATCTCACACTATATTCGAATCACATCTAATTCGAATCTTTCCAATTTTATCCTAGTGGGAAGACAGTTTCCCTCTTCCTAAAAAATGTGAGTCGTGTTACAGGTATTAGCCAAGCTGAGATAATCATAATACCCACCGGGGTGTCGCATATCGCCTGTCTCTTCGCCGCAGTGTTGCTTCACAATTTCTTTTACATGTATAGTTGCCTCCATTTATAACGAGTATAGCTGCTGGTGTGTTTTGTGAAATTTGACACCATTGTGTTTGTTTATGTCATTGGAAAGTGAGCAGTACTGAATGGTGACGAGTGGCGACGCGATACCACATAAGGGGGGGGGGGTGGGCAGGGTAGGGACAAGTGCACCGACACTCACGTTTGGTAGGATATCCACAATTTGTGAATACTAATATTTATTGTGGTATTCGGGGAAACTTTAAGCCTTGATGATGAAACCTGAGGCTTATTGCCTTAATTATAATGCATGTTCTGTAACAGAGAAAATAGAGATAGAAATAGAGAGATTCGTCTCAGGTATGATTCGATACTTTGAACAGGTGATTCAGTTACGCCCAGTGAGTGAGAGCCACCACCACCACCACAGAACGCGACTGACACTACAGCTCATAAGATATGTCTAGCACTATCCCCGTTTATGCTGACATCGATACACTACAGTATGCATGTCTTGTCCTTACGCTGCCCCCAAACCCCTCCCCTGAATTATGTTAGTTTTGATATTTGTTGTAACTTTCTTTAAGCTGAGCATATGGCTTTTAGGACTACCCGAGGCATTTTAGTGATCATAGAAGAACAGATCCATGACAAGTTAGCGACAATGTAGATACATACAACACCGTGAATGAATCGTTGCACAAGAAGTAAGGTGGCCGACACTACATTCGATCGTCCTTACTTCCCTAATAAAACCTGGTACTGATTCTCAGTTGGATCGACTGATGTGCCTCAGGAACGAAACAGCGACATCCAAAACAGGAAGCTTCACGATTTTATCGGCTGCTCTAAGTTTAATCGGTGTTATGCCTGGAGGACAAGTGTCTTTACAGTCTATATTCAGAACCCTGAATTCGAACATGACATTTTTATCTGCTCAGTGTGTATCTAATCTTTTAAGCAAACGTGTCTTTCCTAACTAATATACCTAAAAGTTACCACACCCGGAGGAGGTCATGACAGGGTGAAGGAGGCCGATCACCTGTGTTGGATCCCCCACTGTTCTTGCAAGTCTTGTCAAGGTCTAGTTTGAAGACCAATGCTGTTCCTGCTTCCACAGCTTCAGCTGATACACTGGTAAATTGGGTGTACTAAAAGTACTTTTTATATACTTTCTGGATGACAATAAGATTGAAGTTGTGAGCTCTTGAGCTTATACCTTTTCACATATCGTTGTAGTGAAACTTATGCACAAGGTTCTAGATTTTAGGTCAATTTTGGAACCGGAAGTTCAATATAAAGATTTCCTCATTTAATATATCGTACCAGGAAGTATGTCAATGATTATTTCTCAGTTTTTTAATCATAAAAGTTGCAGACGGACACATAAGTTTGCATATACCCGACAAGTATAGGGTAGGGCAACCGATCTGGTATTAATGTAAGGTAAGTGGTGACATGGAGTAGGAGGAGGGGGTAGGGGAGGCCTCGTTTAAGTGATTGGTACTGGTATGACGTGTGTTTGGAAGCGAGGTTTTTCACCATGAACAGTTCTTTTACCCTACCTTACTGTATCCTCGTTGGGTCTCTGCTAACTTACTTGCCCGACTGTGCACACTTATACTTTACTTTATCCCCTTCGCCACAGATCAGCTTGTTAGCCGCTTGGACGATCGGTCACGTCTCTGTTAAGCAATTTTGGCAAGTGCTGGGCATTTATTGGCTCCAAAATGTATCTGTATCTGCATCAGTGTTGCTCACAACACAAATTATTCCAGAATCTCACAACTCTCACTCCAAAAAGTTCTCTCTGATGACTTTTTGAACTTGTGGCTTCCTCAGCCTAAAGCTGCGACCCTTAGTGGGGCGGGCATCCGCCAGCTCCAGGTATGAACACTCAACTGCGTAATGTC